ATTGCTGAACATTTTTTTTGGCTCAAAAACTGTCCCAAGAAGCAGCACTGGTACAACTGTTTGCAAGAGAAAAAGTCTGAAATATGTGAAGGCAAAGCCATGCAACTGGTATTTCGTTGCATGAAAGTATCTGAATGTGCAGCTTCCTTTCCTTTTGTGGGTTCACCTGTTTGCACACACCTATGCTACATGGGGTGAGAGTGTGGCTGAGATAGGCTGCGAAGCAGCAAGCACTTTGCAAAGCAAACCAGCCTCCATCTGAAATCAGAAACTTGGATTTATATACAGGAACGCACAAACTGATACAACACTGCTGTTTTCTGAATGAAAAACAGTGCTCAAAATTGATGATAATTCTTCCATTAAGTGACAGATAAAACTTTAATTAAGACAGCCTACTTGAAGCTCATGATGCTTCATGTGTGACTAATTCTAACTGGCAAAAGATTAATTTTAACAAACATCAATTAGCAAACTTTTGTCTGTATTGGAGAAGGCAGTTGTTACATGTGTGTCTGCATATCTGCACGTAGGAGTATGTGTGCCTGTGACATGTTGGGGGAAAAGCTCAAAGCTTTTTACATATCCTGCAGCATTTGATACAAGGTTATCTGGTGTCTATATGATGTGCGACCCTGCTGCTTTAGGCTACTGCCAGCCCCAAGAAGAGGTTACTGCTGGCTCTGACTGCTTTCCTCTCCATCTGGGGCTGCTTGCACCTTGCCAAGCCCCACCATTTCCTTGCGTCTCTCAGCCCTAAGATTGCACAGCCGCTTGTCCCAGAGCCAGATCAGACCAAGGTCGGCTGTGTAATGTGCCCTCCAATTTTTAGGGACTAAGGTTACGCTGCTGGTGTTACAGGAGAAGCACTAAGTGGCAGAATCAGCTGGATGTGGCTGCTTTGGAGAATTTTAGCTGTGGCTTGAGCATTTGGTTATATTTTAGCAATTGAGATGACCGTTCTTTACAGATATTAAGAATGCAGAGCCTTGTGAATAGCGGAAAATCTAACATTTCATGGATGTAACAACTCATGCTCTTTTTCAATAATGCTAGCGTGTGTTGTAGGTTTTTTTTTTGTCTCTATTATCCTTTAACTCTGCTATGGAATGTACTTTCATCTTTTGGAACTGACCCCTTAATGTAGCGACTAGAATTTAATTTAGGATATTTTGTTCTAAAAAGTACAAGCTTTGTTTCACAGGAGTAACACTGGAGCTTCCATAGTATTCATTGTATCTTAGAGAGCAAAGATGTAGCATTTGAATTTTTTTTTTCCTGACTGCTCAGTCTGTAAACTCTTCTTTGACTTGCAGACCATGCTCATTTCCTCCTGAGGTGTGCATTGCTAGCAGTACAACTTGTGACTTTCCCTTCCTTCCAGTGATGGCTGTCTTGGCTCTTTCGTGCTAAAATAAGCAGAAAATAATGAAAACTTAATTTTGTTTCGAAGGTATGTAGGGAAACATGTCTCTAAAGCACACGGGAAGAATTTTCTGAGAAGTGTTTTTTGAAATATTTTTCTTCCCAGTGTAATGCAGGACTTTAGATTTGGAATGAAGTTTTCTCCCCTGTATGGGCCATAATATGAAAGTTGTCAGCCCTCATGTCTTGGAAGCATCCAAACCATGTTTAAGGGGAACGTCAGACAGTCCCCTTCAGCTGGCCAAAGTAATTTCAATTTCAAACATCTTCATAAAGATGTGCAAGAGCAGAGGCTTGTCTTGTTGTTTTAGTGCCTAATTTTCGTGACTTGTAGCTACAAAGGATTTTTGCCTGTGTTACTGTAACTTTTTTCTATGTAGTATCAAAGTTTTCCATTCCTGCTACTGATTTTATTGCCTAATGCTGGGCAATACTCAGTTATCTTTATCTCATCTTGATCTATGTTTTTTATTTGAGTTGCAAAAGACCACAGCCACAATTCAGCCTAAGAAGATAAACTAAAGTAATTCAAGCACAGTGAATGGTTTTATTCTCTTGTGTTCGTACTTTCATAACTTACTACTTGTCTGATCCATTTTCATCTGTAATGTACATATAATCAACCTTTTCAGAGTTCTCACAAGAAAAGCTTTTGTGGACTGTGCAGTAATCAGTATTAAGGGCCTTTAAAATGGTGGAAGTCAATGACACTGGCACATTGTCCAGATACATTGTTGTTGATGATGCGAACTGATATTGCTGTGAGAGACCAATTTCAACTCAAAGCTCTTTCATCTGTGGTGATCACAACATTTTTCACGTATTGTTCTTCAGAACTGTGTAAGTTGATACACGCCTGATATTTCATTGTAGCTGTGGATTTTTTTTCTGCTCTTTCCCCCAGCACAGCTGTAAAGTGGCTTAATGGCTTGGAAAACCATGGAGTGCTTTAGTCCATTAATGGAGCCTCTTCTGGCACCATTTTACATGGTTTATATGTATTATGAAGTTGGCATCAATGAAGAAAGCATCTCGCTGCATGAAGATACTGATCATGAGAACCATTGTGTCCCAATTGGAGTTTAAATCTTAAGAGAGTGACTATTTAAAAAGAAAAAAAAGCAAAAACAGAAAGCTACCAAATCAGATTTTTTTTTTTTTTCTAGGAGGGCACTGTACTACTTCATGCCCAGTTAAAACCATCAGGGAGATTTCGAATCATTTAATGTTAAATTTGAGATTAGATGCTTCAGTGTGTGGAACTGCAGGGGAAATAATCATGTCTTTGTCTCCTAGCTTTTAAATAGTTATTTTTGACTAATTTTGGATGACTAGTTTCATCTCAGAAATGAGGTCTTTCAACTTTTAGTCGCCATTAGTGTGTAGTTCTTAATGGTCTCCACTGCTCTATAGCCTGTTGATTCAACTTGCAGTCAAAATGTGGATTTAATACTGATGTAGGGAACATCTGTGCTTCACCCAAAGTTGCCCCATGGAGGAAGAAAACACTAACTGGAGTCTCTGGCTCTGATTGCTTTCCTCTTGCCCTCAGGGTGTCCAGCTGCTGAAAGACAAGTACTTATTAGTTTCACCACTACATGAAGCAGATTTGAAGACAGTTGATTTTTTGGGCACCTTTCTGACTGGAATACCAACTGGAAGGGCTTACAAAAGGTGGCATTCAAAATGAATTGCATCTGATGCAGATTTCAACCTTGATGTTGTCCTAAAGCATATTTGATTTGAAACACTATTACTTTTAAACTAAGTCAGAGCTTGTTTGGTGCAGTGTTTTTTGTTAGATACCATAATAGGGTAGGAAAAACAGACAGTTTTCAAGCATTGGAAACCTTCCTTATGTCTCAAATGCAGCAACAAACTTGGCTAAATACAGATGTTGTCACATGTTAAATTTATTGGTCAGTTGCAGAAATGTTTGATACCCTTAAGAAAAAAAAAGTAAATTCAAGTATACTTTTCCAGTCTTCATATTTCTATTTTGCTTAAAATAAATAGAAAACCTTTTCATTTTTCTTTTCTCTATGCTCTTTCAGGAAAGAAGTTTGGATTTTTTTCATCGTTTTCCTTTCCTTTGCAGTCTCCATCCTTTTTTTTTTTTTTTTTTTTTCCCTGGTTTTTGGATGAACTCTTCCAGATCTCTGATTCTGGATAAGTTACAGAAGGGAACAAAGGAAAATTGAAACTCTCTAAAGTGGTTGAGCTAGTTTCATTTTTCGTTCTGCTGTTACAACTTTTCCAAACCAAACTGAAATTTTGGATATCATTCACTTATTCAACCAAAGTAACAAAAAGAAAAAATGGGAGAAAGTGGACAGGGAACAAAAACAACTCCATCACCTGCAAACAACATGTAAACAGTAGAAAAAACCAACTTATTAATCTTTGAACGTTTCAAGTAGAAAACATCTGAGTTTTTACTTTTTTTGTGTAGAAGTGCTTCCATTTTTTCAGCTACTCTGCGAAATCTGAAGACCTCGGTCATTTTCATCACCAGTGTTGCTGCATTTCTACTTGTCTTGGATCTTGCTTTTACAAGATGCTATCGCTGCTATGCTGTGTCTCTTCTGAATTAACTGGGCTTCTCAGCTGCATACTTTAAGTCTACACGAGTCAAACGTTCATTGGACTCATCAGTCATCAGCCCCATATATCACTAATGCCAACTATGGTACTAAGATGACTCATGTCCTAATTATTTTGAATAACAAGTGTGCTCTTGTGATAGGACAGTATGATTTTGCTTGCTACAGAATGGATCAGCAGAAAGTGGCCGCATAATGCAGGCTTGCAGAATGATCAGGAAAATGCATGTTGGTACAAAATTGTTCACTTTTCCTTATTTTCATAAGGATTTTTTTCCCAGTAGCTCCACTAAAAGCTGCTCCCCCTTCCCTCTCTAGATAATAGGTTCTTCAGGTACTTGAAACTTTAAACCTGATAATAACATACAGTTTTAAATTACTTTTATGCAATTGAATTATTTCAGGTGTGATGTGCAATGAAAACTAAGTAGGCAAAAAAATCCACCAAAGAAGTTTTTTGATTATAATTTCCTTTTTGATCACCCAAACGTATAATTCAGTAGAACCTCAATTTACTACTTTGTGCCCATTTTCTATACCTGTTCATAAACACAAGGAAAAGAAATCTGAGGTGGACTTGATGAGGTAACCATCATATAAAAAAAACTTTTTTTTAAAACAAACAAACAAACAAACAAAAAAAAAAAAAAAAAAAAAACATGGGGGGGAATATTTGGACTACAGAATAGAGTAGTTCAGTTGGAAGGGGCCTAGAAAGATCATCGCTACTTAATCACTTCAGGGCTAACTGATAGTTAAAACATTATTAGTGCTATGCTGTAAATCACAGTGACTGGAGTGGGGACGTCCTGTTCAGAGCATAGCTTATGATGATGAGTGATATGAAATGCTTTGGACTGCAACTGCTTTTGCTATCCTGGTTTAACACCTCAGTGACTCAACACCCTGAGAATTTGCCAAGAAATAGGTGGTGCTGATCTCTGCTCTCCTCTGGTCAGTCTCATACAAATATCCAAGCTAGCTACTTTAAAGTATTTCTGTGCTGTTCATTCAAGGCTTCATATTTACAGCATTGAACATGGAAGGTGTAGCAGAAATGCAAGTCATGGCCTGAAGCAGTGATTGAGCACCTGGTGGGAAGGCAGGGCCAACCCAGGGGAGCTCAGGTGCATGCAGTGGAGCCAGGATCCACCCCTTCCCAGCCCTCACTTAAGGGCTGGCAGTGGAGGTGAGGGGACCATGCTGGAGATCCCTGCATAACTGAGGCCTTCTAAAGGTAAACAGTTTTTCTTTGTTTCTGTGCCCGCAGTTGTCGCATTTGGGCTTGTTCTGATTTGCTGCAGCCTAGGGTTGTGCCACTCCACTGTTATTGCTGTACTTTCCATCACACTATAGTATTACAGTGGTACAGAAGGCTGCCTCTCACCTGTGATTTTCAGATGTTATAAAAATGGCTGTTACAACAGCCTCTATGAAATTCATTGGCCACGAACACCGCGCAGTTGTTGCCTCCACCTCTAGAAGTTCTTGTAGCTATGTGTTAATAGGTGCTTGGTTGCAGTTTTGTAACTGTTTGGTTTCCCTAGTACTTGAAGAGCAGATGCGCAAAGTTCTTCTGAATTGGGTTATTTGGAAGTTTTATTTTTTGAGATGTGAAGTTGTCCGGTCTATCCATGTTTTAGGTGGGTGACAATGAAATTTCTGGCAAACAAAGCCTGAAGACCTCATCAGTAGAAAAGCTGTTTCTGAGACAGAGTTGCATTTCTAAGCTTAAATGGAAAAAAAGAAGGTAAAACGTAGAGGAGCACGTGGACCACACAAATGCAAACAGCTAGCTGATCTTTGGCCTGATCCAAGCAAATGTTGAAATCATTGAAAATATGCCAGCTGACTTCTGTGGGATTTACAGCAGGTTCTAAGTTGGCAACTGTCCTTTCTTGCAAACAAATCTTCACTACTTTTACATTTTAGACTTCTAGGTAATCAAGTTGCCGAAACAGAAATGTCTTTGGTGTGAATGTGTTTCTCTGTTTCTTTTCTCTGCAACTAATAATGTTGCCACAGAAATTGCTTCCAAAAAAATTCAAAGGCCAGTATTTAGATAAGCAATATCAAAATGCTTCAGCATTAAGCTGTGATAAGTATTTCCTCCTGTTTGTTGTAAGAAAGAAGGTTTTACACAAGCCATGTAGTCTTAACTTTCACCAAGTTAAATAAAGGCTTAGTAAAGGATTTTGTGCCCTTTTAACCCCCAATAACCAGAGTGCATCCTGTGTGACCATTCATTACGTATGAAGTGGCTGTAATTTATACCAAATGGGGTAGGTGAATTCAAACAGAAAGATACCGTCCATGATAAAAAGATAACACTTCTCCGTAACAGATGCTTCATTTTATGATGGAAATGGGGAAGCTGAATGCTGCAGGTGCTGGGCTGACACTAGGCCTGTGGAGAATCATTAGAGCCTCCTCAGAGATCTAGGTTTACTCTGTGTTTAATCAGCCACAGTCAGAAGAAATGGCTTCATTTCAGCTTGATGAGAGCCAGATTACAAAAGGAAGATAGATGGCCAATAAGGTTCATCACTATAAGCATATTGTCTTAATTTGAAGAAACAAGCTGGCATTCTGTGCTGAGGAAAAGTGAAGTGCAATATGGCTAGTATCAAAAACTAGTTATTTCAAGTCTCTGCTCCCCACAGTGGAAAGTATTCTGGCTGTACTTCGACTGAAATATTAAATAAGAATTACATATGCTACAAATGACTGCATTTACTCATGAGATACCTCTGCTTTGAGTTCCAAAATGCTGAAACCTATCAACGTAGATTTGGTTCGGCCACTTATGTGCATCCACAAGTATTGTAAATATTTTTGTACGTTTGTACAAATACACAAGTGGAAGGGTTTGCGTTGACTATCGATGAAAAATTCTCTGAGCATAATATGAACATGCACTGTCTAAAAGGGTCACAGTGTAACCATCTATCATGACTTCCCATGACAGCCAAGGGGACAATGAGGCTGTCAGCTGGGGGCTTGCTGTGACAGAGGATGAGACTTTGAAATAAATAAAATTACAAATTTAGGGACCTGGACAAGGGAAACTGTTCACACAAAAGACAAAACTAGAGATGTCTGCTTCCTGCATGAAATGCATGATTCCTTGTTATTGCTTAGTGCTATTCCTTAGTGCTGGCTTTTGCCTCTTGTGCATAGGCTGACTTTTTGTATAAGCTTCAGTGCTCTCTAGAAGAAAGAACTCTCCTTCAAACGAAGAGAGCTCTCAGGATGAGAGTATTGGGGCTTAACATGCTGATAGCAACGATATAATTATTACTGTTTATTTTACAGTAGAATCCGGGTGGTTTTATTGCAGTTGGAACCTTTTAGTATCAGGCAATCTACAAATAGATGCAACAGTGATTTTTTTTTTTTTTCATCCTGTTTTGAATTGTGAATCCTTAGGATTTTTCTTTTCAGTGGTAAATTTGAACACCCTAGCAATAGGTTCACTTTTCTGAATTCTCACAGATGTCTTAAAGGAAGTCCTGTGCCCTGGGGCTCCCAGACCACTTGGGCAGAGCTTGGGGAACAAAACTGCAGAGAATTTTAATCGTAGTCAGAGGAAGCCAGGGGCTACATTTGAGTTAAACAGAATGGTAGTAAGTGAATCCGTGTCTCGAAAGAAGTGGTGGGATAAGTACTTGATCCACAAAACCTTGGAAATCAGTATTTTCAGTACCTTGCTGGGTTTTGGATCAGGCTCCAAGGAGTAAGAAAGCAGGAGACATTATATGAGAAGAACATGGAAAGCTGAAAGCATTAAAAGGATGTGTTAGCAAATGCTATCATGTGTACAATTTTGTAATTGTAATGAACATTGTAATGATTTTCTACGGGTGGAAGAATGAGAGTGTGGTGGATTGTTTTGATGGGTGAAACTATGGTTAATTTATGGAGTTTGGGAAGCTTTGAGAATAATACTGCCTGAGGGAGAAGTGGATAGTCAGGTTTAACTCAGGACAAAAATGAACGAGAGGAGGGAATGGCTATGGGTGGCTCGACTTGAAAATGCCTTTGGGTTAAAACAAGAATTTTGTGCCTCGGTGCAGTGGAAGAAGAGGAGGAACTGATAAATAATGTGAAACATAAGCATGATACAGCCAGAAAAGCTGGCCTTTAAGTTGGTCTTGAATGGCATTTTTAAGGAAGTCCCAGAGGACATTGTGCTTTGTTTAAGGCAAGCTACAGCCTGGTGTAGTCACCGTGGCAGAGGAAATGGGGAAAAAGACAAGCAGAGTACTCAGAAAAGGGCCTGAATGAGCACTCTCAGATAAATAACATGCTATGCAGGGTAGCAGATTGCTCTTGGTTTTGTCCTGGCACCAAGAAGACTGCTGGAGTTTTTGGTCTTTCTTACGTGAGCTTCTATGAAAAAAGCTCATTTTTCCCCATCTTTCTTTGTTCTAACTTTACCCATCTTTGTATGTTAGGATGAAAGTGAAACAACTCCTACTGATTTTACAGGTCTGAAGGGAATTAGGAATTTGACTCATCAAATTATCTCTACTCCCACACTATTCTTTTTCCCGAAACACTGGAGAAACACACACTTCATCCCTTACACACTTTCTGATGTCTATTTGGAACAAAAGCAGAAAAGCAAGCGGCCACTTTCAAACAGTTCAGGCTACGCACATCTGTGTTTCTGCTGTACCTGCTGCCCAGCTAGCCCAAGACAGCTTGAGCTGCTGCCTTATTTTATGGCTGTACTGACACAATCCTGCAGTGAACCATGCGACCCCTGAAGTGTTTAGAAAGGTGCATTTGTGTAGGGGAGACTTTTTTTTTTCTCTGGAATAAATCAAAGATTCCTAGATAATCTTGCACAAGCACGTTATTGACCAGTACCTTTCCATAGGCAAGGAAGGCTGTATTTTTCAGAAAATGATACACTAAAGCATTCACAAAGTGGAGACTTAAGAAGCTTAACAATTGCTAGAAATATTATCATCAGCTATCACGGTAACATTATCCAGCCATTCCCACCCACAGATACACATGCATGCACACTGGATCTCATCTTAGAAGCCTTGCAAATAACGCACTGTAGGTGTGTGGTCCTCAAAGTGTTTAAATGTTTGAGGATGAAGTGAGCAGGAACATCTTGCATGCACCAGCTGAAAGAGGGCTGGGAGAAGCAGGGGGTGGATTTCCCTGGACAGATGATAGTTTTCTATCCTTCTATGTGCTGCCAAACTACCTCAGCTGGGGGGTGGGGAGGGTGTGTGTAAACTTTTTTTTGTCTCTGGAGAGCAGTTTTTCTGGTGTTTTTGGAATGCATCAAATGCAGTACAATTAAACAGGAAACAAAAAAAATTCCCAGGGCTCTTCATCCACCTCCTTTTCTCTGTCAAGATATTGCTTAATTTAAATGCTGCCAAAGTTAATAATGAAAGACAGCATCCTCCAGTGTGTCAAAGCACAGTGCCCAAGCAGAAAAGCATGAGTGTCTTTCACGCTCCTACCTTTACTAAATTCAACCCTGAAAAGAACAGGAGTTTAAATGGGCAAAAACAAGTGACCTGAACAGAGCAGAATTGTCTAAGAGCTCAACGCCTTAGCCAAGAATGCGATGGTGCCTACATGATAAGGTTATAAGTGCCATCATGTTTGTTAGCCCAGGTGTATGTCACCCACAGATGGCCCATAAAAATGAGCTGCCTCCTAACAGTGCCTGCCCCTTACCAGAACCAATGGAAAATTGACTGAGTACAGCTCAGGATTTGTGAATGTAACCACAGGGTTTTTGGGGAGGAAGAAAGGAAACTGGTTCTCGTTGAGGACCTGGGAGGTTTTGGATTGAGGGAGGTGACAGTGGTGAGAGCAGCCTATGTTTTCTTCCCCCTCCTCCCCGTGCCCACAAACGTGTGATGAGCAGATAAGCAGTGCCACAGGTGGTTTCTTTCCTAAATGCAACCTTTTTCGTTTTCTAAAAATAATGTGCATGTGAATCGAAAGGGGAAAAGAAAGTAATGCCCAAAGTTAGAGAGCAGCTTATTAATTAGTTTGAGGCACTCTCAGTACTCCTGCAGATGGAAGGAGTGAAAGCATAAGAGATTGAAGTGACGTTCTTGCCATTGCTGGGCCTGGGGAGCATCACTGGTGTGTGCAGTCCCTTTTCACCTGTGCTGTCCTCTCTTGGTGTCATGACTCTAAAGCAGAGCTTGGGTCTGCTAGAAGTCACTTTAACTGTTAACCGCCTTGTCCTTG